TCTTACAAACGAGTGACACCTCAGTGGTGCTTTCAGCTAGGAAACATCATTGACCAGGCCAAATTAATTTTTTCTCCCTCCCCTGCCTGAGAGGTGCGTTACCTTGCAAGAGAGACGAGTTCAAAACAAAGAAAGGGGGAGACAAAGAGAGAGAGGGTGTCCTAGTGCAGGAGAATATTTAAATTCAAAAACAAGTTCTTATCGTGGACAAACCAGACAGATGTCAACTGGCAGACATACACACAGACCGACAGAAGAAGAAATGAAGAAAGGCCAGAAAGGAAGGGTGAAAGAAAGAAGGAACAAAAGAAGGAAAGGAGACAGCAAAGACAGACAGCCAGGCAGATAGAGTGAGCGCCAGGGGTCTCAGAGATAAAAACCCACTGGACACTGCTACTTGGACAGGTAGGAGCCCCCCCATCCCCCTTGGTCCATTCGCTCTCGCCTTCTGCCTCCTCTAAGCCCCTGCAGCTACACACTTGCTTGTGCGGACCATCTGGGAGAGAGTGTCTCGTTTCTGCAGAGGGACCCACAGAGCCGGCTTCCTACACCAACTGATCTGAGCTTTGAAAAGTACTGTGGGGCTTTAAGCTGCAGTGATAGCGTATGTCTGTAGAAATCATTTCCCAAAAGGATAAAAGGTCAGTTAACAAAGATGTTCTCCCCCATTAAGGCTCATTATTTTGTTTAAAGCAGGAAACCAATATTACAAGAATGATTTTGCAGTTACTGTCACATTTTCAGTGCTGTCATCTGCACTGGTGCCTTAGAAACAAAGGGTGGAAGAAAGAAGAAAAGAAGGGAAGGATGAGCAAAGACAGGAAGGTGCTTCACTGATACTATAAAAACATGGTAATGAAACTGAAGAAAATGAAGTGAAGAAGCCTTTCTTTATTTTACTAGGAAAATCTCCTTCCAGTCTCAGGTACATGGTGTCCATTAAAACCACCAATAAAACAGTTAGAAAAATAAAAATGTATTAAACAGTCTGCTGATTGCACAGGTGTCCAGACCACTCCACATTTAAAATCTGTGGACTAGTTTGTTATCGGTCCTGTTCAGATAGTGGCACTGGATCTCTGACAGGTGAAGCCCACTGAAACTGTTTTGTCAGGCATGAGGGAGGCAATGTGAGCAGCGATTCAAATTTAACTAATTTAATTTTGTGTTGAGTTGGGTTGGGTCAGCGCCGCAGATGGCTGTCTCAGTTCTGTACCGGACACAAATTCCTTGTTTGTAACATACTTGGCCAAATAATGGTGATTATTACTAATTTAATTTTTTGACTAAGTGGAAATACAACCAGCAGGGTCACTGATCAATCAGCTGATCATCGTCCTGATGAGCTGATTGACCAGTTTATCCCCAGAATGTCAAACACTGGGAAAAAGTCCCACTGTGACTCTCCAGAGCCAAAGGTGGCGTCTCCACATGTCTCGTTGTGTCCAACCAACAGATCCACAGAGACTCAGCTGATTCTCATGTCTGACAAAGAAAAGCATCAGCTCCTCACATTAAAGAAGGTGGAACCAGAACATGTCGGTGACTGTTGCTTCTAAATAGCTGAGGTTCATTTTCTACCAGTGAACTGACTCATGGCTGCAGCTCTAGGTCACTGAATGGCTTCATGAGGACGACACGGGGTCGGACACAGAGGGGTTGGACACAGAGGGGTCGGACACAGAGGGGTCGGACATGGTAGGGTCGATCACAGTGGGTCGAACACAGCGGGTTGGACAAAGGGGGGTTGGACACAGTGGGGTCGGACACAGCGGGCCGGACACAGGGGGGCG